GTATGAATATATGGAATAGTTAAAGGTCTAATTAAACTGCCTTCGATTCTGAACAACAGGAGAAAACATTTGCCTGATCGGCGGTAATCCCACATCAAAATGTTATAATATACTATTTTTGCTTCTTATTTGTTAATATACGGTTATTTTTTGCATTTGCGTGCAAAAACTCAAACTATCCAACGCAACTTCCGTTTGTAATACAGTTTAACGATTGCTCAACTGATTCTGATAGTATATTTCGCAAAATTTGCAACGTCTCGGTTCCAGTTTTTGATTCGCCTAATTTTGTATTTCATTACTCGATGCTAATTTTATTTACAGAAGTTACGATTCTACTCTAACACAAACGACGCTGCTGAAGCAGATCAAGGTAAAATGTGGCGAGCTTGTCGTGTGACAAAAAGAGAGATAGCGGAAAGCTATCAGGATTATTAGGACCACCCGCACAGTCGGCGCAAGACTCGATGCACTTTTAGCAGTCCTTGGTTCAAAATACCAAAACGAGTTCTGTAGTTTATGTAGACTACTGAAGCAAAGTGAGGAAGGTGCATTTCTGCAATCAGTTAGTTGCGCATATAGATAAGCAAGGAAAGCTGCATACCTGTCGGCTTTGATTTGTTCTCGAAGCCTTCTCAGATACGCTTCCTGTTCACGCTTCTCGCGTCTTCTCTGCTCCGCAATTTCGCGTCTTTCGCGTTCCTCGCGGCTCGCCTTAAAAATCATTTCACAGCGAAAGGCAACTAACTACTGGCGATGTGACTGATTTTTCCAGAAGCATCCCTCCTAATCGCTGAAGCATATCATAGTGGCATAGGAGTGGTGATGTTCAGGACGGGGTGGTAATACACCAAAGGATCCCCGAAAAGACTGAAATCTTGCAAAGTGCTTCCTTGGAAGAAATGCTAAGTTGGAAAAGGCTGAAATCCTTCATGAAATGATGAAAGTGTTAGGATAGCCAGTATGCTGATTATTAAGCGATACAGCATTGGTTAAAACATTCGGAAAAATTGCCGGCTGCCCTTCGCCCGAATTTAACAGAAATGTACCAGTGAAATGAACAATTCGTTTCTAACGCTTCTGGCAATTTTTGCGTTTTTCTTCTGCGTTGCTCCAGCCAATTTTTGAATAGTCTTGTTTTTGCACTGCTCTTTGCACCTAATTAATCATTTTTTCATTTCTGGAAACTATGCCTTCCATGAAGCCTACACTTCTCTCTGAAGAATGGCATAAATAAATGTCATTCAAAATGCCTTCAGAAAACAGGTGTTTTGACAGTCAAATAAAAAGAATTGCCACAAACTTGTGCCTCGGCCATTTGTTTGCCCAAATTTCTTCTCTCCAGTTCTTTGCGCATTTCTTCACTTTCCCCTGTTAACTCGTTTCCCACATGTTTCCTTTCAAGTTTTTCTTTTGCACTGAAAACGGCTCTATTTCAAATAATAAGATAATGCATCAAAAAGTAAGATCTTTTTTCTAAATAAGACGACATCAAAATCTTCAAATCCGATGCCAAAACTCCTTGTACCTATTCGGTGCGAAAGGCGAAGGCACTTGGAAACGTTGCCATATGCTGGCAGTGGTACCGGTGGCCCACTTTTTCAAAGACTGTCTATAAAGTAAGCTAGTGACGGTTTTGTCTCTATGGGCATGTGCCAGTATAAATTTACCATCGGAATTAGTAAACAAATCGAAGTAGAGTTGATTATTCTGCTGGCCGAGTTGAACCTTCAGCCTTAGAAGGAAAGCATCGTCAGTGCACTGCATCCGCCGGCAGTTTCGAAAACAATTTCAGGAAAAAGTTACCTTTTTGCTTCCCCTTCCACGGACGAACTCTTCACATGGTGGTTGTCGTTCGCTTCTACGTTGGGTTTACTTTGTACAGCTGATGCTGACGATGAGGGTTGATCGGGAGCATGCGCCATCTAAAATACAAATTTACTAATACTAAATAAGGGACGTTCTATCTAGAAAATCAGGAACAGAAAATATTTTCCAACACGCGCGTTTGAAAAACTGTTGAGGACAGGGAAGTGCTGGAAGCAGGAAGCGAGTGCAAGGAAACTTCACACACGGCAACCATATGTTTATAAAAAAGAAAACAGCCGAAACAATTCGTAAAATGCCCTACGAAATGAATAAGGGATATCTGAAGGCATTTGCGTATAGCCAGACAAAACAATACACTCCAGCACTGACTGCAAAATTGTACACTGAGGCCGAAAATTTTATCACAAAACGCAATCTCTCCCTTAATTTTGCATGCTTGTTTTTTTTTACCAAACGCAAGGCATATATTTATGCTTTATTTAGTGAATTTATGCCTTATTTAGTGAATAAAGCTCCGTGGTAGGAGCCATTCAAAAGAATCAAAAGATGAACGTGACTGCATAGTACCACAGTGGTATTTTTTGGCCCAAAACAAAGCAGATTTATAGTACTTATAAAAACTTATAAAAAATATGTGTATTTTAAAATATGTGTATTTTAACTTATAAAAATATGTGTATTTCTTCAATATCTTTGAAATTACAAGATTTTTAATTTTATGATTATAAAACTCACTTCAACAGCTATCTTTAGCCTGTGGCGAAAAACGTCCTCGTCGAGTTCCTCGGTAACTGTAATTACATCCAGAGGTTTTCCTTTTAAATCGATAATATACATTGCTGGAACG